GCAAGACACAAGTGTACGCAGGTGCGAAGGTGCCCGCCGCATCACCTCTTCGTAGAGCGGCATCTGCAAATCGAGGAGCGTCTGATCACACGTCTGCCCACGCGACCAGCGAAAGACAGGAACGGGCAGAAGCAGCTTCCCACACGGTCCATATGAGGGCAGCCGTCGGCTCTGTCCACCGCTATGAATTATGATGCGCTGCTCACGCAACAGCCACCCCTCAAAGTCGTCGTCGTCTTCTGTCTTCATACTGTCGTTTCGTTCCGATTGATAGCACCGCTCCAGCAGCCAACTCGTTCCCCCACCGGAGCCGAGATGAGACCCTTTGGGGTCACATGTAAAAAAAGTATTGTACAAATCTGAGTAAAGAAGGCGTTTAACGGCGCCGTGAGCCTCACACACAGAAAGTGGAACAGACAACAGCAGTCGCATTGCTGTGATGTGGACAATATACACTAAGAGGGAGATGTGTACGACGAAGACTCCCTTCGTCCTCCTGTTAATATTATACAATTGACACCTCCTTTTTTCTTCTTCCTTCTCCTTCTTCTGTGGATCAATCCAGCCGGTGGATTCCTCCTCTCCTTTGTTCTCCTTCTTTTGTGCAGTTCTATCGATTGGCCCCTGTCCACACACACAAACAAAAAAAAAAAAAACAGCAGACACAGCAAAAACAGTAACACGTACGCTACCTGTGCCACAGCGTCAAGAATCAGGAAGAAAAAGAAGCATAAAAAACAGAAATGCAAAAAAAAAAAAAAGGAAAAAAACAGTAGAAGAAAAAAAAATAAGATCGGAAAGAAAGTGAAAAGATTGAGGAAAAGGCATTCATTTCCTTTCACAGGAATGCATGCATGTATCCAATTTAAGAAAAAATATATATGAAGAAAGAGTGAAAAATTCCTTTTGAACTTCGCTCCTCCTGCTACAAACCATAATGTCAGACAATGAAGAGGAGAGACACATACACACAAAAAAAAAAAAGTATGTGCTCTCAGACGCCAAGAGTGTTTTCCGCAACGGCTTACGACGTCAGGTACAGCACCAACAAGACAATGAGAAGAGCCGCAAGGTAGTCTGTGGTAATGCATAGCTGTTGGCTGTGAAACGCCTCCGCCTCCCGGGCCTCATCCATGTACTTCTGCACAAATGGTGGAGCATCTTTGTTGATGCATGCAAGTTTCTGATGTACAATGTGGTTCGTACGCTCCAGCATGGCGTGCATCATCTGCGGGGTGAGGGAAGAGAGCAGCAGACAGGCGGGGAAAAGTACAATCTGCATCAATGACATTGAGGCACGCCACACAACCACGTCTGTTGGAGACTTCTTCTCCATGACACTCATCCACTGCTGCTGCGTCTCTGTCTTGCGGGCGAGTTCTGTCATGAGTACCGGGATCATCTGCCATCGTTTGGGGTGGAGAAAAAAGCTAGAGAAGTAGTGAACCATCGTCAGCGTAAAGAGGGGAGTGATGCAAAGTGACTCCACAAGGGAGAAGTGACGCGCGTGCTGGGCATCAAACTTGCGTGGGATGTCGGCAATAAAGAGGTTGTGACCGGCAAGCATGTCGCCAAGAAACTCGCCTCCCCTGCGAGGGTACCAATGAAACCACCGCTGCAGAGAAGGTGGAAGCTTCAGTCCTGACATCGACCGAAGCAATACACCTCGCGAAAGCATGTGTGTGTGTGCGACGCCGTGTGTCGTGTGATGCACAATTCACTGAACGTTAACTGGAGCCCGATATCCTGCGCCAATGTCACTGCGTGTGTCTCCGTCTACCTTGGATACATGGAGAAAGACGGTGGACAGCAGTCATGCAGATAGAGGAACATTAAAAAAAAAAAAATACAAAATAAAAAAAAAGGGAAAAGGCACCCATAAAAAAAAATTCATAACAAATTGCGCTCAAAACAAAAAATTATGACGTCTCTGTGGAGTTTAAACGCAGAGACGCAAAAATGCACACCCCTCGATGCTTCATTCCAAAGGTTTCAAGAAAACCGGCCTTCATCGCCTCGCATGAGGCGAAAATACGCATTTCACTGCGAGTAATTGTCTGTAGAAAACAATGCTGCCGCCACTCCTCTCTTTATTTCGTTGCGTGTATGCAATTGTCCCTCTCTCTCTCTCTCTCTCTCTGTGAGTGTGCCTCGTCGCCCTCGTCGTGACACATCCGCTGGCATCTCACATGGACAACATCGCCTGGGCACGTGATGTCAGAAGCCTCCCAAACCGTCCATGAACTTGGCGCTCCGTCAAAAGTGTCAACACGGTCGGCTGCGTCCTCACGACGGGCGCGTCCCTCCTCTCAAAAAAAAAACTTTCAACGTCCTTCTCATGCACAGTGTCCCTGGCCGCGGTGTGGTGGAGCAGCGTGCGGGTCCGTATGACGAGACATTCCAGGAGGCTCTCCTCCTTCCCTGGCGCCATCAACGCACGCGGAAAGCCGAAGTTGACAACAACGTCTACAGGGCGGTTCTTCATGCCGCCATCGTCACTGGCAACGCACAACATCCAGTCGTACGTCACTAGCACGTCAGCTTCGCCCCGTTGGAAATCCCCCAGCTGGCAGGTGCAGAGGACACGTGCGTCAGTTTCCCGCAGTCCGGTCAGTAGCTGCGGAAACACCGATTCCTGTTCCTTTCGCGACGAGACCACAACGACCATGCGACCCACCGAAGATGTGAGGGGCGTCTCGGAATTACTCGCTGCGGACCCATTCGTATGACGATGGGAGCCCGCCACCTCCGAGTGCCCCCCGCTGTTGACATGGGACGAGCAAAAGTGCTGCTTGACAATTCGAAGAAGCCGACGCACTTTTGCCGCCTCCACGCGCTCAAACATTTGTTGGGCGCCATATTCCTCGGCCTCATCCACAAACACCTCCTCAATTATGTGCTGCACCCCATCCCACACCGTGTCGTCGCGTTGCCGGTAGCGATTCACCACGTCAGGGGTCTCTTGGAGCAATGTTTCCTGTAGCCATCTATCGACCTCATCGTACATCCGAGAGGCGGACACAATGTACTGGCACTCCACATCGACAGCATTCGAGAGGGAAATCCACCATGACGTGGGAACAGCCATCTGTGAATTTGGCTGCGCCATGCGGTCTGCGTCACTGATGCATACAATTCGAACGCATTCCAATGGAAGTATTTCCGCTTGTCCCCGTACCATCTGCAGTGCCTCAACAAGAGACTGGTGAGTCCCTATGAGAATCGGTACATGCTGCTGCAAGAATTGTGGAATTTCCTCACAGGGCCCTGTCGCCATCGATGTGTCGTGCGCTGCCGCAGGAGGAGGTGCCGCTGTCACAGCTGCGCACTCCAAAGAAACACAATCCCCTTTTTCGACGGAGGATTTTCGATGCGATAATTCTTGCATCCAATCCTCACCATGGCGGTCGTCGTGGCGATGATGATGACGGGACCGACCGCTTTCGCGTCTAATCCTCTTCTTGTCGTGTCTGCTGCTTCTACTGCTGCTGACGTCGCCGCTGCGATGCCGGTGCTGACGCCTGCTGCCCCGCCTCTTCTTATCGCGGCGACGGTCGTGACTACGGCCTCGACGGTGCCTTCGTTCTCGAGAGTAATGACGCGAGGAGCTGCGATGTCGTCGACGACGGCTCCATGCCCTCTCCTTGGCAGCCGGCGAATGACTGTGTCGATGGTGGTGATGGCGACCGCGCGAGTGCTCACGCCCCCGTTTGTGCAATGAACGCTCCTCATGGCGCTCCTCATTTGAAAAATGCTGACGATGATGGGCCTCTTCGCTAGGCGGCAGCGGCAGTAATGCTACTGGTGGTGGTATTGGTGGATGTAGCGGTGACGGCGGAGGTTGTGCCTCTTTTTCCGGCGGCAATTTTCCTCCCCAGTCGCACGAACTCTCGTAAAAAACTGGCAACGGCGTGAGTTCAGCCGTTCCACGACGAAACGTCATGGGCATAAACGCACCTGCCGTGAAGACGTCTTGCAGCCACCGATTGCACCACTGAACTTCATGGAAGCTACTGACCAAAATCATCGCTCGTGGCGCAGCCGGATGCAACCTGTACGCATCTGAGGGCTCGTGCTTCATCTCTACCTTCGCCTCATCGCCAGCTCCACCATCATTACTAGTTTCATTCTTCTTCTCACCACCAACCTCCTTCTCCTCCTGTCTCTGAATTCCCCGCGCCAGCGTCAGCGCCCCTGTGGCCAACAGAGCAGCCGTCTTTTTCCCCGTACCTCTTGGGCCGACGCTGAGGGTGTGATGGCCCAGCAGCATGGACGTCACTGCAAATTGCTGAAGAGCCGACATCGTCCCCAACACCTCTCGCGGGTCATCCTCATCCCCGTCAACATCCTGACGGCCATCTTTTTCCTCTTCTTCCCTGCCGCCCCCATCTGTACCAGCGCGTGACGATGGCACGGCTTCAGTGCCAAAGACAATTTCCTGCAGCTCACGTAGTTTTGGTCGCAAAGTATCCTGAGGGCCATCCAAATTCAACGCTTTCTTGCCACGTGGCAAAAACAACTGTCGTCGGAGACGTGATAGCACAAGCGGCGGGAGCTGCAGGTCCTGCAGCCGCAAGCAAGGAGGCGGAGGAAGCCGTGCAGAGCACTCAACACCATGCATCATTGCAAACTGCGACACAAACCCAGAGGACATAAGATGTTGAATCATGTACGGTGCAGGAGTCCATGAGGTCCGCGAGGTCAATCCAACAGCGGCATGATTCGTGCTGGCATTCAAGCCCGTAACGCCCGCTGCGGCTGTATCACCGTCCATTCCGCTCATCCCGTCGTGCGCATCCATCCCACTGCCATACTCCCTTGCATAGTTGGCCGCCGCACGTCGTGGCACATCACGCTCTGGAATGATGTCATTGGGCCCGGACTCCACCACCAACTGCCACAGTGACTTTTGAGGCGGGGCCGGCGGAGCAATGTCGTTGGAGGCACGTACGAACTCCGGGAAGACAAAGTCCATGCTCTCTTCCCCCTCCGCCACCACAAATACACGCACTCAATTGCCCTTCTGTCGATTTCAACTTCTCGGGTCCCTCCCACAGACACCCTCCTCTATACCTGCGGTGTGTAGGGATTAAGGAGGGCAATGGACAAAGAGGGGGGCAAAAAACAAAAAAATGAAATAACGGAATCAACCCATGCTGTTTGTGATCCCTCGCGTTCTGGGATGTTGCACGACGTCCCATTTCCACCAACACCGCCAGCAATGACATGCCCAGTTCGAATGGGACAAAAGTAAACAAGGTAAAATAAAAAAATTTTTGTGTCATTATTTCTAATGCCACCTTCGTTTCCTTCTACCAGTCCTCCGTCAAAGTGCTCACACGCCGTAAGCAAAAACGAATAGTCCCTCATTTTCTTTTTTCCATATCTCACTCACAAATACATAAACAAACAAACTACATATAAGTGTGTGCGTGCGCCTGTCGTTTACTCCGCAGAGCGCTGCAGGCATGGCTGCGTATCACCCTGGCGCAGCTTCACTCCGTCGTCCAAGGGCGTCTGATGGCGCACACTGATAATCTTAAGCGCACTATCCGCTATCCTATCCACAGGCTCCCTGCTCACACTCACCTCACCACGCTCAGGGTACTCCACCAGGGTAAACATGAGCGCCGAGTCATCGAGGGCACCGTCGTTAAATACGATGGCATGCAGCAGCTTCGTTGTCACGTCATTGAAAGGGACTCCAAGAAGGTTCATGTCCTCCAGAACCCGCATTGACAGGCGGTGGGCATACGGATTGCATTCACCGCACACACGAAGAATATTCGCCAGGTCATTGAAAATGGCGGTATCAAAGGCAGTCTTACCAATACCTTTAATGAACTCCTGGCACTCCTGCATTTGCTTCTGCACCTTTGCAAGCTCCGCCTTCTGCTTGTCAAGGTGATCCTGCTTGAAGGCGGAGAGGCCACGCTTCAGGTCGTCTTTGATATGAAAGCTCTTCAGCTCATAAACGGTGTACTCCTGGTGCGCTAGGCGAGCGGGCAGCATAACCTCCTCATAAAACGTCACGAGTTCCGTGACGCTTTTCCACGCGGTGTTTTTAAACTTCTCCTTTGCGCCGGCAACAGGCGTACGCGCGGCAGCAGCAGCAGCAGCCTTCGCCGTTTTCACTTCTGCCTCAATCTTTGTGACGTCCTCCTCCGCGCCCAACGTGGCAATCAACGGGGCGAAACGCACGCGTGCGAGGTCAACCTCCGTGAAAAGAATCTCCGCCGGCCTGTGCAGCTGCTCGAGGATGGCAGCAGGAACATTAAACACCTGCGACACCTCCTCCTTCGTCACAGGCGTGCCTAACTTCGCTGAAGACTTTGCCAGCGGAACTTTGCGCATGACAGCGGCGGATGCAACAAAACGAAGCAAAAGGCTGCTGCCGCCGCTCACAATGGGAACAAAACGACGCATGAAGTCTGCCAATAAATCCTTCTTCTAACCAACAGGGAGCCTGCAAAAAAAAAAAAAAAAAAAAGAGAAAGAAATTCAGAAGGGACTGTGCAGTCAGCGGGAAGCCACCACCATTGGCAATGAAACCCCGCCGTTCCCGGCCAAAAATAAACACAGTAAGAAAAAAAAGAAAATATAAAAGACACACCGCAACAAAACACCGCACCGAATATTCGCCTGAGCTATTGGCCTTATATATTACGCTACAAAATAGGACGGGAAAAAAAGAGGGTAAATGGAAAGACAGTGACTCCGCCACTTCCTCTCCGTTTGCTCCATATATATATATTTATATATGTGTACATATTTCTTCCGGATGGCCAACATCGTGGGCCGGTGCACTCTATTCGGGGTGGAGGCATATCGATCGCTTGCAAATTGCTCGACTTTGATGTCCCCTCCAGCCCATCGGCGCTGCCCCGCCGCAAGGTGGAAATCAAATGAAGACTGAATGGGACAGTAAGAAATAAAAATAAAATAAAAAAGCATCATAAAAACATTTTGTCTTACCAATACCCGTTCCCGGGATGCCTTCCATCTTGGTCCCTCAAAGAAACCATATACAATAGAAGTGAATCGTACAGAGATGGATTCGTCTTAACAGGACATGTATTATTAATTCACGTGGCCAGCTTTCCTCGCAAACATTCTTTTCATAATCTCCTATTAATCACTCAATTGTCTTGACACGTCCACGGAACTCCTCCAGAGTCCTGTACCCCTTCCGCGCCATGATCTCCAGCAACTCATCTTCAAGACGCGTAAAAATGCCGGGCCCCTCCTCCTGCAGTGCAGTTCCCACTTGCACCATCGACGCACCGGCAAGTATATGCAAGAAGGCATCCTCGCCGCTGTAAACGCCGCCGCAGCCAAAGACCAACTTATCCGGGCAGCGGCGGTAGAATGCATTCACGTTCGCTAATGCTGTAGGGAGGATATACTTGCCGCCAAGACCACCAAACCCTTGTTTGGGTTTGATGACAACAGACTCACTCTCCGCATCAATAACAAGGCCGTTGCCGACACTATTCACACACGTCACAAACTTGACAAGTGGGAACTCATTTAAGACAGCAGCAGCCGTATCAAAGTGTGCAATATCGAAGTACGGCGGCATCTTCACGCCAAAGGGCAGTCCATATGCCAACGACACCTGCTGCAAGTAAGTGCGCATCGCCTCAAAGTCATAGGCCACCTGCGGTTTGCCGGGCACATTCGGGCAGGAAAGATTCAACTCCAACAATACACCTTTTTCCTGCGCCACAGGGGCAAGGCGGCGCACCATCGCCACATTCTCCTCCACGGAAAGACCTGAAATGGAGAGAAAAAGCGGCTTCTTGCTGTAATCGTGCAGATCGCTGGCGTATTTCAAATAGAAATCAAAGCCCAGGTTAGGCAGCCCCATAGAATTGATGCTTCCAAGTGGAAAGGCCATGTAACGCGGCTCGGGGTTACCATCGCGAGGTGCACTCGTGCAGCTCTTCGACACAAGTGCGCCGCTGGAGGAGGCTGTCATGCAGCGCAGGTCTTCCTCGGTGCTGCAGAGAACTCCCGCGGCGTTCATGAAGGGGTTGGCGAACACATGGTCGAGGAGGTTGAGCTTCAGACACATCATCTTCTGCGTAGCGTACACCCTGACAAGGGGAAAAAAAGACAACAGCAAAAAAAAAAAAAAAACACCACAACAACAACAACGATAACACCGCAGTTCAATCAGCCGCTCCGTGGGAGAAAAAAAAAAAAAGATAGAGAGAGAGAGAGAGAGAGGCCACGGCAACAGAATTCAAGTGTCATTCCCCACCTCCCGGTTCCACGCCACTCGTTTCTTTTCATCCTCCGTCCCAAACTACATCGAATCCTCTCACACCCTCCACTCACACATTTCCCTTTGAGGCGAAATCTCTCACCACCCACCCCCAAGCACACGCGCATATATATGTATATTATAGTAATAATAAAAGAAAAATAGAAAATAACAACTAATGAGCAAAGGAAACCCTTATTGTGGTAGTTGTTATTCCCCACCATATATTTCCGTAACTTTTTCTGTGTAATTGTAAAAATGCCAATTGGTTAATTTAAAACGGTCACATTGTTATGCCCGTCAACGGACCCACCCATTTCGTTCGTTTTATTTTGTAATATATTTGTTTTGGGTGGTTGTGGTTTAAACCTTCGGCTGCGTTTTGCGCTCGATCACACACACTCTCATTCTTTTCATTTTTTTCATTTTTATTTTTATTTTTATTATTTTGCTGTTGTTGTTGTTTTATTCGTAAAAAAAAAAAAAAAAAGAAGGAACAGTCACACATCAAATACTCATGGCGTTAGTTGGACCGCCTCCCCCGCAGTACACAAGAGTATATATCTCCCATACATTTCCCCCACCTCCTTCACGCCAAAACGCTCCACAAAATGGCCATGCGCATAAACATGCCGTACCGCATTTGCCTAAAGTAGGCAGCACGTGGGTCTGCATCAACGGTAGTGCTTAACTCGTCATTGCGTGGAAGTGGGTGCATAACGATCATTTTTTCCTTCGCCAGCCTCATACGTGCCGCGTCGATGGTGATGTCGGCTTTCGCCGCAAATGACTGCAACGCCGCCGCATCATCGCTCGTGGAAGCCATAAACCGTTCCTTCTGCAGACGCGTTGTGTACAACACATCACTCTTTTGCATGACCTCATCTGTCAGTGCGTGTGTGCGGTGAATTATCACTCCCTTCGTGGCGATCTCGTGTTGCAGGGGTTCCAGCACATCCTGCGGCATCTGCAGTGCGTCCGGGGCGACAAGAAACACACATTTAATCGAAAAGTTGCGTACAAGAAGCTTCAGAAGAGAGTGCACCGTTCGCCCCATCTTAAGGTCTCCGATCAGCGCGATGGTGATGCCGTCTACGCTGCCCAATTCCGAATGAATCGTCAGCGTGTCCAGAAGCGCCTGCGTTGGGTGTTCGCCAGCCCCATTACCCGCATTCAGAATGGGATGCTGCGCCACGGAAAGGGCCTCCTCAATCGCGTCCTGCCTTGGATGCCGCATCACCAGCACGTCGCTGTAGGAGTCCAGTGTGCGAATGGTGTCGGCGAGGGTCTCGCCCTTGTTGATGGATGACGCCTCGACCTTAAAGTTCACCACGCTCCCACCAAGTCGAATCATCGCGGCACAAAAGGAACTGAAGGTGCGAGAGGAATCCTCAAAAAAAAGTGGCGTCATGATGCGGCCCTGCAGGAGATTCAGCACCTCACCCGCATCAATCTTACGCTGCATGGCGCTTGCAAGATGAATCAGCGCGTAGATATCCGCACGACTGAACTGCTCGGCACTTGTGATGCTTTTGCCCTTCAGGCTCGCTACTGGCGGCAGTTCCAACATGGGCAGCAACAAATATGCCTTCACCCTCTACTTATGTATATGTGTATGCGCAATAAATCTCGCTTCGTTTTAAGGCTGAAAAGGAGTGGAGAAAAGAATTCCTTCATACGCCCGAAACCACAATGCGTGAACACTAAATACCTCCCTCCTCTCCCTTCACGCGCGGTGGCAGCACACACACACATCCACAGACAAAAAACAAAACAAAAGAAAAACACGGCGGCAGGGTGTGGCTGTGTGTGTGTGGCGCTGCGGGTGTCTGCCCGCCCTGGCAGCAATAAAACAAAAAACAAGAGGGAAAGAAATGTGTGCTCCGCCCCACCGGCCCTCGTCGCACGCCCACACGTCACGGCCCCTCCTCATGCGTGCAGCAGGCGAGGCGCACAGGGCCGTCGTCATGAGCGTGTCGGTGGGTGTGCGAGTGGAGCAGTTGGGCGGGAAACACACGGCACCCCTCGCAGGAAGAGTGCAGCAAAAAACAATTGAAAGAGGGAAGAGTAGAAAAGAAAAAAACGTCCATAGTGATTGCCCCAAAAGCAAAAAAGATGGGATGGGGGAGTGAAAAATAATAATAATAATAATAATAATAAAATTTTTAAAAAAAGAAAAATATAAATTACGAACAGCAAAAGAAAAAGAAAATTATCTTAAGGAAAATATCATTTCTTGGAAGTAATTCTGTGCAGGGGAGGGCGCAATTCTCCCACGCGGCTGCCCGTCACTCCTCACAGAGCCGCAAACCCCCACAGTCCCAACAGCAGAAGCAGCGATGGCAGCAGTCCGCTCCCGCACACACTGCAGGCATCGGTGTTATTCCCCTGCGACACATTCCCAAGACTGCCGCTGAGGGCCGCAGCCTTTACGTCCCCGTTCTGTGCATGGATCTCCTCCTTCTCCTGCCCATTCGTTCCTCCCGCCGTCTCCCCATCCGCACCTGAGCTCGCGCTCGCCCCAGGATTCACTGCGGTTCCATCGTGCCCCATGGCTTCAGCGTTAGGGGCATATGCATCTGCTGTGGCGGGAGTACCCACAAGAGTTTCTGATGATCCATCTCCCTGCACCGTACTTCGGTCTCCTGTCTCCACCGCTGCGTCACTGCCAGGCGAGGAAGCGCCACCCACATTTTTACTTCCATCGAAAGATTCTTCTGAAACCAACTGGGTTGCAGACCCCTCTCCTCCTGAGGAAGTCCTGGCACTGGACACCGTTGATGCGGATACACCGTCCGCACCGCTGCTCCCCAACGACTGTCTCTGTTCCTCCGGTCGTCCACCACCAGGAGAAGTCTCAATCGCGTTTCCTTCAATAGACCCGTCCACCTGAACTTCAATAGGAGCTTTATTCGGATTGAAGGCGGCGATCTCAGTGTCATCCCACGGGCGGTTGTACAGCAGGACGTTCGTCACAGTCACAGACACGCCTTCTTTGTTGGCTGCATTGACTCCATCCCCTCCAATGTAGAAGTGTGAGATCTCTTTCGACTCACCATTTCCCAATTCACATTCTTCATTCCCCCCCACTCGCTGACCATCAACGTACACGGAGCCCTGGGTACCATTCCGTAGCATAATGGCCACCTGGTACGTCTTATCTGTCCCCAAAGTGCTGCTGAGCTCCTCGGTTTTTCCGTCACAGCACAGTACCTGCCACTTCTTTTCGCTGTCGTACGACAGTCCCAGCAGTACATTATTTTCATCGCCATTACTGCCCGCACGCACACCCATCAACGGAATGGGGGTGTCTCCCTCCGGCATTTTGTGGATGGACACCGTCGCCACAAGAGTGAAGTTGTAGTTCGCAAAGTGGTACAGCTGATTCTCCCCCTGACTGCCAAAAGGCCACTCCGCCCCTGCGCCACGCCCAGTGAACTTCACACCATTTTCTACCTGCACCGCCCCTTCTTTATTATTTACTGTGGCGTTCACGCCGAGGTACTCGTCCTTCCATGTCTTATCAGAGAAGTTGCCGGACAAAAAGCCAACCAGCCCAGCCGTGATCTTAACAGCGCTGCAGACATCGTCAGTTGAGGCACGCTCCTTCTCAGCAATTAATGAGGTGCACAGCTGGGAGACACGTTTGTCCACTTCCTTCCAGATCGTCAGCACATCCTTCACACGCTTCAGCTGCTCAGTCAGAAGCACAGAGACCATACCGGGTGATGGTTTCCCACCGTCCTTCTTCTCGTACAGTGCAATCAACTCATCCTCCTTCTTCTCATTAGTGTTCTCGCCACTGTTGTACAACAGGGAGCTGGCGGCAACGTCCTTGTCATCATCACCGGATATCGGCCCAATATCAACAATGTGCGTATTGTCCGTCAGCCAAAGATGAAGTTTGCCCTTTTCCTTGTCGTTATCGGCATAAACCGGCAGAGTAACGAGCATCACATTCCTCTTATCACCATCATTTCCAACAGTCGCTGTGATGAACCCGCTTCTAACTGTCTTCGCTTCTTCGCCCTTTTTGTTGTTGCCCCACACACGCGAGAGTGTCCCGAGTGCCTCCGTCCACGACTCCCCCTTGTCACCGGACTCGTACACCCTGCGGCGGCCACCATCACACGCAGTCATCATCATGAGTTTATCGTCCTCCCACTCCACGACGGAGGGATCGCTGCAGCCACCGTCAGAAATCCCCTTCGACAGCTTCCAATTCGTATTATCCGAGGAGTGTATGATCAGTGAGACAGTCTTTCCATCCTCTTCAGTGCCCTCCACCGCCTTCTTCGTGCCTTCCACAGGAAATACAAGAGTCTCATCATGCATCTTAACACCCGATCCACCGCTTCCAATCAGCTTTGTCCAGGAATCGGGCTGTGTGCCAAACAGTCTTTGCGGGGGACTCTCAGTAACTTTCCAGTCAATTTTTTTGTTATTTGCATCCTCACTATTGACGCTCCCTTTCACCAGCAAAAGTCCCAATTGAGTCGCGTCAGACGCACCAACCTGTCCAGGAGTGGCAACTTTACTGCTGTAGGCTCCAGCAAGCATGTAAATATCACTTCCCTTCACAGCAGTTGTTGGTCGGCTCACATCTACTTTCTTCTTTTGGTCTTCGGAGGCACCTTCCTCCAGTACTCGTGTCTCACCTTTGGGTTTTTTCAGAACTTCCTCCGGTGTGTTTGCAGTTTTTGTCGTGAGAGGTTGAGATGCAACGCCAGTAAAAATGTCGCTTTCACCGTTCTTTTTGCACTGCGCCTCGGCAACGGCAAATACGTCATTCCCCACTTTTAGAAGGCTGGGAGCACCCAACGACTCCACAGTTACACCTCCACCATCAGTGATGCCCCTCCATTCAAACTGGGGACCAGATGGCTGCCCCGCAACTCCCGCAGCACCACTGCCGCAGCACATCAACACGAGGAGGAGGAGCAGCATCGCAGAGTAGAAGAGATGCCGGGACATGTTGGGCCTCTGCGGCTCACTATCTCTTCCTTCCCTCCTTCTTCCGCTGGATCCGGTCACGCGGCGACGGTTGTGTGTGCGGGGTGCCTTCACTGCAGCAACACGTGAGTGCATACAAATATGTGTGTGTGGGCAGTGTGTGTGCTGTTGTTGGTCCTTTCAGTGCCTTCCAATTCCACAGTAGCGATTAGTGCTTGTTATTAACCTCTTTCCTTTGTGTGTGAGTAAGAGAGAGAGAAGTTAAGGAAAAAGGAGTGAAACAGCGAACACCGTCACCCATCCACAGTGAGTGGCATCATCATCATCGTCCCTGCCGCAGTCACTCTCAACAACAACTCACGCACACAGACAAATGAAACGAGAAGGGAGAACAGTGCAGCGGGAACACACAGCGACGGTCATCACCAGCAGCAGCAGGAGCCACGCCTGGCACGTCGTTATTCGTCACGCGTCAGCACACACTGAACAACGCCCTCACAAAAAGAAAAACCAGCAGGATAAAAAACACACAGCCGCCCTTCACAGCAGACACGCGCTGCCGCCAGTCGTTTTACTCTTGTCTCTTCCAACGCACCCGCACATCGCCCCGCACAGCCGGAGAATCCTCCGTCGGCGTACGAACAGCGGGAGGAACACGTCGGACGGTGCAGCTGCTGGGCTGAAGCCTATCCGCAATAATCCCAGACACCAAAACGCCACGCCGCCCATGGGCAGCACTCCTAGGAAATCACGCTCGCAGCACGGCAACAAAACAATTCGCGGTCATCCGTCATCCCTCCTCGCAAGGGCAGCCGCAGCAACAATCGTGTACGTGCGTGCGTCCTCTGCGATCACGCCGCCCCACAGCGTGCGCAACATAGCGTGTGCATCTGCTAGTGCGTTTGGCAGCGTGTATACTTGCAGAGCAGCTGTGCAGCACAAGAGAGTCCCAACAAAGCAAAGATAGGGAGAAGCGGATAGCACACACGCAGATTACTCATATCATCACGCACACACGCAGCCCGCGGAATGGGTGGGCTCAACAACAAAACAATAAAAAACAAAACAAAAAGCCGAAGCGTGGGACGACCAGCGCACACACTCTCATTGCTCCCGTAAAGCAAAACACACACACAGGGAGAGAGAGAGAGAGGTCGCCCACTCAATGCAATAAAAACAAAACAGAAACAGTTACGGTGCTCCGCCCATGCAGCCAGGCAGGACGGCAGCGGTGCGTGTCGTGCAAAAGAGAGCACCAACGGGCCTGCATGGGTGTGCATGCAATATATACAATGGGCACATTACGTGTGTGCTTCGTGGGGTGAGGTGAGGGCGAGAGTCCATGCAAGGGGACACACACAGAGAGTGAGTGAAAGACAAGTGTGTGTGCGGGCGGTGCACGGCTCTCTCTCCCTCACTCTCACGCGGCCACCACCGCAGCAGCAGCCGCACACGCAACAACAAGAAGAAGCAAAAGAGGGGAGGTGGTGTGGGAGACAGCGGTGCTGCTGTCGCTGTCGCCGGTGGTTGTTTTGTTTGTTGTGTTAGTGGAAATGTTTATGGCTGTTGTGGATGCTTCACTGTTGGCTGCTGCAGTGTCAGTGCTTTCTGGTGCGCTTTTGGGTTTTCTTGTTGCTTCCTTCTGATCCACTTCTTCTGTGAATGTATTGTTGCCATTGTTGTTGAGGCTACGCGCATCATGATTGTTCGGGGTTGTGGTTGTGGCAGCGTCTGACTCTCCCGCTGGAGGAGCCGCGGTGCTGCTGTCACTGTCATCAGGCGTAGGCGTATGATTTGTTTGAGCGGCGGTTTGTTGTGGTATTGGGGTTCCTGCAATCGGAGAGACCACATCTTCTGTGATGTGTGATGCGTCATCACCATCGGGGGTGTTTTTGGGTAGTGCATCGTCCTCAGAGGAAGATGGGCTCAAATCACTGATTGTCCGACTGCTTTCTGTGCTAGTTTCAGACCGCACGGCCGTAGTTGCTGCAGAGCTGCTGACGCTGATACCAGGTATGGTCGTATTGCTCGTTTTTTCATCGGCTGTGACTGGCAACTGTGATTCTCCCTCGCCTTTTGTCGGAGCAGCAGATTTTTCGCCAGACTCCGCGTCGTGTTGTTTTACTCCGGCGGAAGCCTGTTGAGCATTCTTCGCTTCCCTTTGGTTTTCGTGACTGTTGTCAGCACCGTTGCCACCTGTAGAGGAGGATGACAAAATTGTATCCGGTGTAAATTTGATTGGTGCATCCTGCGACACATTTAATGAATCTTGTTTGCGATCATCATTTCCTGGCGGACTCGCATTTCGGGGTTCCTGCGTATTGCCTCTTCGAGCATCATTCGGTAAATGTGACGGTGAGTCGTCCTCGGGAGTTGACTGCAAGCCTGTCTCTTTCGCTGGGTCTTTTCCAGGCGTTTTTCCTTCTTTTCCTGATTTTGGATCATTGGCGTTTCGTTCCTTTTCCCCGTCATGTTGATCATTTTGTCTATCGTGTTCATCGTGTTGCTCTTGTGCTCGAATTCCTTCATTATCCTTTCGTACCAATTGCCCTTCTTCTTCATCTTCTCCATCTCCATCTTCAACATCATCTCCACCGGTTCCCTCCAAAGATGTAGCGGCAACTTCGAGCATTGGCTCATCAACATTTGCTGATGGTCTTTTTGGGTCTTGGATGTTTGACGGTGTCGTCTCAAGTTGTGGTGGTTTCGGCTGACGTCCACTAACATCCGCACCGCCATCACCTCCGCCAGAAACATCGGCCGCCGGCACAGCCACCACACTAACACCGCACCACAGCACGCAGAGGGCACACACCAGCAGCACACGGCCAGTCATCATCATCGCCATCACTCCTGTCACTTGCGTGCAGCCTTCAGCACAAACTAACAACAAGTCAACGCAGAGCAAAAGCAAAGTGAGAGACAATTCCCACAACCACGCACCGTCCCATCCAGCAACGAGAGTCATGCAACACAACAACAACAATTGGGTGAGCGCGGTCCAACAACAATCAAAACAAAAGAAAGAGAAGCGCTCCTTGTCCCTCTCCTCAGGCCCTCACAGGCACGCCACGCTCACTTCAACACGCGCCCCTCCAGCACAGGCCTCGAAATCGTCGGGCCCTCCCAGCACAGGTAGTCCGTCATGCGCTCCCGCTGCGCCGCAACGTACGCCACATCCTCCCTCAGTCCAGCAGCTCCATGTCCTCCACAATCGCCGGCATGCCCCGGCCGCGCAACACACACAGCGCCACAATGTCGTGCCGCCTCTCCTCCACAATCACGAGCGCAACGCCCAACGCGTACTGGCGCACGTGCCCCATGCGCTGCAACCAAATGCCGATCAGGTTGGCCGTCATGCACCGCATCTTGTTGTCCTTCTCCTTGTGGCACCAAAAAACGTGTAGCCGGCGGCGTCGCAGTGCTGGAAGAAATGCGGAGCAGCAACCGTCCGAGTGTCCGTCTTACTGTACTCGCGGTTTAACGCTTCCAGCAAGAACGGGATCAGCGGCAGCTCATCCAGCGGGTTCGTCCCCTTATTCCTTCTTCGGCGCCTCGTCCTCCTCCAGAGCACCAGCTGCCACTGCCGTAGACCACGCTATTGAAGCAATCACTCCCACAGAGGGACAGGGAAGAGTGTGTGGATGTGTGACGAGAGCACAGCGACTGTCATCGTCAGAGGAGGCCATCGTGGAACCGTCCGTCATGCGCCAGGACACACCGTGCGACGCACGCACCCGGCAGTGCAAAAACGCAGAGAAGAGAGAAGAATGACCCCAAGAGCAGGCAACACCTTCACGCATGGCGGGCATCGTGCAGCCGCGTCAGCCAGCACCCAGCGGAATGAAAAAAAGGCGTCCACACGCACCCATCCAATGACACCGTGATTCCACCGCAGTCACACACGCAGCGGCCTCTACATGTCAGCAAGAAACGCAAGACAAAGTATCTCCATCACCAAAGCACTCCTGCTGAGCACTGTGCAAATACTCATGTGACTGTGTACGTGTGCTGTGGGAGGAGCTAAAAAGAAGAAGAGCACAGGGAGGCAAATCAGCACAGCAAAAGGCACAGCTGGATGGAAGCGATACATGCGGCACGGCCCCGACCTCAACAATCACGCACGGTGGCAGCACAAACACATCCACAAAGCAAAAGAAAAAAAAAAAGGCACGCCTCGGTAAATATCACTTAATGCTTCTTGTCATCAGAAGCTAAATCCAACATCAAAGCCGTCGTATCATCATTCATTGCTTGCCAATTAAGCCTCGCCCTTTTTTTTTTTTTTTTTTCTTATCCTTTTGGTGAAGTCTGGTTGTACAGTTATTTCTTTCTTGTTGTTGTTTTCTCTTCAGAAAATCTCCCGCCCTTCCAATTCCCTCACTGGCAGTGTTCCTTTTGTCCATCCGCCTCTCCGCAGCAAGGAAGTCCCCAAACGGGTCCGCTGCGGACACGACACGCATATGTGTATGCAGTGCAAACGGTGAATAGGTTTACTATTCGAGATAATGGCATGCCGATAAGAGATTTATTCCAATGTTCCTGTTTTGTGTTTGTCTCATCCAAGTAATGCAGTGTGTGTGTATGTATGTGTATTGGGTGCGACCCACGCCGTCTTATCGCACGTCCAGTTTCTATGCACTTCATTTGATCCCTCTCCCTTTATTCTTGTCAATTGCGACTGAGAAGCTCACAGATGCCATATCAGAGTTTACTGCTGGCCTCCGCCATAAAAGAGTGGACGTCCTTCATCTGCTGCTGCGTGATCGCCCCTGCCT